CGGGGACTTAGACCGAGTTTGGATCCAGCCGATTCTAGTCAAGTCTCAGTTAAACCAACTACATATGTGTAATGATGGAACATGTTAAGCTTGCCATCATCATAATCCAAACTTTATCTTATTTAGTTGAAGTTGAACTATATGAATTATATTCTTCCATTTTTCTCTATCTAGGGCCATAATCTCAATAAAACCAAAAGTCACTATATCTTTTCTTGCTGCTATTCATGTCGTTTTGAGCATTCTCTTTGTTCTTTTAAAGCCTTCCACTTGAACCAAATCACACGTCCTGTTGTAATAGGTCTATACTACACATAGCCAACCTACCTAAGTCTACGTTCTTTTATTTTATTGCCTACGCAACCATAGCTAAGTTCCCTTGTATGCATTCATTTTGAATTCTATCCTTTCTTGTCTTACTACTCATCCATCTCAATATCATCATCGTAGCTATATTCATCCTATGAATCTATTGTTCCTTGACCGCCCAATATTCTGTCTCATAAAGCATGATTGATCTTATAGTTGTCTTATAAAACTTCCCCTTTAGTCTCAATGGTATGCGGCGATCACATAAAACTTAACCCGATTTGATGCCTACTGAGGCTGGTCATTATTTCAATTTAAACTTTGTTTTAAGAAGATGCACCTCAAATTTTGAGGGACATATTCACCTAAACTAGACACCCTAAAAAATAAAAGAGATAAAAAAAAGGCTAAATCATAACCCCCCTGCCTGCAAAAGCTAGCAATCCATATGGTTCAATATGGACCATTAGTTTACACTTCCATTCGCCCTTGGACTAATAAAGTGTATGTGTGTGGCTAAAGATATAATCAGCAGGATACGTAAGAAGCAGTATATGCTTAACAACCCAAATTCAATCCGAGTGATCAAACAACTACAATGGCATATTTAACTAGGATCACCAGGAAATTTTGATTGTGCGCACTCCCTTAGGGCATGCCTAAATAATAAAAAAAGTAATCCACTAAAATAAAATGACTAAAGTTATCCTTGCAATGGTCATCGATAAGGTGGGGGTATTTTGGTTATATTTTAATAATCATTTTTTTGTATTTTTCTTAGGTGAGCCAAGTGAGCTGCACATATCCTCCAAATTTCTGAAAAATCCTAATATAGCTCTAAAATAATAAGATTGATCGTGAATTTCCCTTTGTAAAATAAAAAGTGTACCTATAAGAGGAAAAGGAAAGGGATATGCACTAAACTCTGAACTTCAAGAGATGGCAAATAAAATACAAGCTAAAATGCCTAATTTTATGACCTGAGCCCTTGTAAACTCCATTTTTGGACATTCCTCTCCCAAACAACCAATCTCCACTTCTAAACGATAATCGACTATATTAGGATTATATACTATGAAACTATTTACTTTGGTACAGGCAGGTCACAATCACTTTTAGCCACTCAATGTGAAAGCCAACAGTTTAGGTATGTCACACAATTTTAGAAGTTCTATTGTAAGCTTTGTACCCAATTAATCATATATCCTTAGTCATCTGATTTCACATTTAATGATCAATAGTGATTGTGACCTCATCATCACCATCATCATTAGAGCCTTTTCCCAATTATTTGGTGTCGGCTACATAAATCTCAGTCCACTATTTTGCTCTATCAAGGGTTATACCCTCAATGAGGCCATAAGTCCCCAGATATTTTTCACTACGTCCAACCATGTCCTTTCGGGCCTACCCTTTGCTCATGACCAGCCCACTTAAGTTTGCTTTCTTTGTGCTATACATGACCAGTCCACTTAAGTTTGCTTTCTCTAATCTTATCGCCTATTGGAACCACACATAAGTTCTCCCGCATGTACTCATTTTGAATTCTATCACGCATCCAATGAGTATGTTGTTTCTTTACCGCCCAATATTCTGCCCCATAAAGCAAAGTTGATATCACAACTATCCTATAGAATTTTCTCTTCAGCTATATTAGTATGCGGCGATCACAAAAAATTCTAGTAGCACATCTCCACTCCGCCCACCCAGCTCTAATTCTATATGCGCCTCGTTGTGCTAAACACAAATTTTCATATTGTGTACTCTTCCAAAAAATTTCCACTGACTTCCTTGAACCCACTTCTCTTGGTTAGTCCTTTTTTTTCACATGCAGTAGGCTGCATTTGAAGTTCAAACCCATTGCTAGATTGTTAACAGACTTGAAAGAGCTCCCATGGATTCAAAACCCAATAAATTTTCAGAGATGACCACTGATTCAAAACCCTGTAACTTTGCAGAGGTCATAACCAATGTAGAATTTGAAGGAGCTCCCATGGACCCAAATTGCCAGAATGTTTCAGAAGAATTCATCAAGGTAACAATAACGAGATCTCAGTGCCATATAATGTCAAAGAAACATGAATTTATAATGAAAATTGAAAGAAATCCAATGAACTGATAACGCTAGATTGTTTCAGGTGCATGTGTGAGCTTATTCCAATGTTACTGAACCAAATGGGCCACAAATTTGAAGCACAACAAATTAAGAGTTCATAAAATTCTTGAATTAGGGTTTGGGAAGTGATATAGATTTTATGTAAAAAAGTGGCTTATCGTACGTAGTAAATGGATAGAGAGCTTCAATGAAGCAGAGGAAGAAGAAAGAGAGACATAAAGCTTTAAACCAGAAGACAGTACTTCGTCGGATATAGGTTATCAGTCATGCAATGATGCCATGTCCAGCCATCTGTGGCTGGACTATTGGCAAGGAAAGCATTTTCTGGCGACCCAACTTGGTTTGATGAAGAATTTGAAGATGAGATGATTGATAGGGCCCAATTTAAGTCTGGGTTCTCTTCTTGCTTTAGCCACAATTGTGATTTTTGGCAAGATATTTGACCAAAGGTTGGTTGCGAAGAGGCTTTCTTCACAAGTGGATTAAATGGTTTAAAGGAGATCTATGGTCCTATTTTCATTTTGAACAGGAAGACAGGCAAATTGGCACTGCCCCATCCAGTAGGCCTCGTTCAATCTTGCAGATTTCACCTAAACATGAATCACTTAAAGGACCCATCTCACAGCAGAAGGAAATATATATAAATTTCTATGGGAAAAGAGGGATTTGAATAAACTGCCGGTCAACCCCAAAGCAAAGCCGGCAAAGCAGGCGTAGAGGGGGTTTCAACTCTCAGCTCCTTGCAATAGCCTTAGAGCTGGGTCGTTTGTTAGGTCAAGAAAACCTCCTCCTTGGGCCATCCTCCTTGGACACTTCCTTCCTTTTGGCTTGGGGGAGCTAGTTTCCTATTCATGGGAAATAAATAAGAAGTGTACGCAGCAAAACAAGGCCCTGAATGAATAAAAGCTCTAACAAAAAAAACCTGCAATGGTGTTTGTAGAAAGGTCGTCATTCACCTTGCCTTTCCGTCAAGGCGTAGTTGACTCTTGAGAACTAGGACTGGGAGAGAGAGACCAAGGCTGTTACAGACACTTGGCTTTGTGGGGTTAAATTCGATTAGAGGGAAGGCACGCTTGCTTACTCTCCTAGAAGGAGGCATTCGTCTGCGTAGGAAGGCCTACCACTACATGAGAGGTTTTTGAGCCTTTAGCTTCACTGCTCAAAGCTCTGTACTTCGGTGTTCAAAGGCTGAAAGTTGCTTGCCTAGCAATCAAGTATGGCTTTGCCTTTCTGCTAGTGTGCCCAAATAGCAACATAAACAATGGAGAACCAGATTCTTTTGGATTCTTCTTCTTGTTTAACCATTGGTTACATCAATTTAGGGACTTTATCTGCTTAAATGTTTGAGTAGATACACGTGAAGTTTGAAAATATCTATGGCACTTCCAAAATATCAATGATCTCAGTTAATTGTGGCATAACAATGATGTCTTGCTCCTCATCACAAAATGGAATATTAGTAAAACGTTGGATTTGGTTCTCTTCAAGCAGTTTGGGGAGCATTTGAGTAAACCGCAGCCCCAACCCTTCTAAACAAATCACATGGAGGTTAGGGTATCCGATTAATCTAAATTCTTGAAATGCTTAATCAAAATTCTTGAATGTAAACTAAAGTTGTAACCTAAATTCTTGAATGTTGGATTGTATTAGAAGAAATACCTCAATCTAAAATCTTGAACAGAATATTGATTTCACTAGAAAAGCATGTCAAATGTTTTTCCTCTTCAAAACCCCAATTTTAAATTGTTGAGAAAAATTGAAATTGCATAGAATTCGTTTAGAGGTTTTAAGTTTGACTTCTAGAGCTTTGAGAAAACAAATAATTGATATTTTTTAGAATTTCTTAAATTGGAGAGTTTGAAAAAAGAATACATATTAGAGAATTTTTAAATTGGAGAGTTTGTAAATTTTTTATCAAGGATTTTTCTGGAGAATTTTAATGATATGGTATTGATGGGGTTGCCCTAGGCCATCAGCCTTCTTGATCATCGATTGATCCCATCCAGGTACGTTTTCTCTCTCTACTTCATCTCCCTTTTCTAGCACTATCATAGCCGTTTTCTCTCTTTCTATCCCCTTCAATGAAGAACCAAACAGATCTTGATTCATTCAAGTGAAATCAAATGTGGTTAGGGTTTTGGTGTCTGGGACACACCTATTGCAGTGGGTTTACCTTTCAAAAATCCATCTTGGAGATAAATTTTGGAGCCAAAACTTTACAGGTCTAACATCTCAACAACCAAAAAAAAAGATTTTTAAGCCTTGGAGATTGTAAGATTTTTAAGCCTTAGAGATTGTCTTTTTTTGTACTTCTTTTGGACCCTTCATGTCAATTCTTCAAAGATCACTAGATCTACACTGTTTTTGGAGCTCCAAATTCAGAAACCTAAGGGGGAATGGATTTGCAACTGTAATGTGATTTGGGTCATAAATCCATTGAAATTCATGGTGGATGAATGACTCAGCCGACTGACAGAATACTTTTTCATCAAATATACCAATCAAATACATTTTTTCATTGACCAATAAACAATTTGGATCTTGTGCTACACACTTGTGTACAGTACAAATCTAGTTTGACGTACATCTTCATGTTAACATGTTCAAATATGGTTATCAAACTATTCTCAATGAATGTTACCTTAAAAAGTTACAAAATTCAGCCTCATCCATCTTCACTATCAAATGCTATATAAATAATAAATAAAAAATAATTTCACATTAATTTAACTCAATAATTTTCTACAGTTGACTCAACATGACAGTTCAAGGGAAAAAACTTCTGTCTTTCCAAACAACATGCTCGTAACCAAATAGTTGAGTAAAGCAACTCACTAATTGCTCGTGAATCACTTCATCTTCAGGGAGTTCCATCTCAGCCTCCATTCTCAAAGAAGTCACCCCTTTATCAGTTATCCCACAAGGCACAATATGCTTGAAAAAGCTTAAGTCAGGATCAATGTTAAAAGCCAATCCATGAGAAGTTATTCCTGATGAGATCCTCACGCCAATGGCGCCAATCTTTCTCTCCCCAACCCACACGCCGGTTTGCCCACTTTCACCTGCATGGACCTTTACATTATAGAGAGATGACAACCTCACCATTGTTGCTTCAAGATTCTCAACATACTTTCGAGCACCTAACCCAGCTTCTCTTAAAGAGAGAATGGGATATAGAATGGCTTGTCGGGGACCATGGAAAGTTATGTCACCACCTCTCTCTGTATAGTGCAGATTGGCTCCCATAGCACTAAGTTCAGATTCAGGGATAAGTAAATTGTGATATGTGCGCCTTTTTCCTAATGTGTACGTTGGGGGGTGCTGCAATGATAAGAGAGTGTCTGTAATCACTCCTAATTTTCTCTTGGACGCAAGCTTCTCTTGAAGCTTGAGTGCATCTAAGTAATTAACAATTCCCATTTTCCAGATTTCTAAGGTTCGTTTCGATCTCATCCCCTGAAAATTATCTGCACAAGAAGTGAAAAATTAGTTTTTGGCATCGCAAAGTTAGCACAAGTATTGCTATGGCGTAATTACTTTGCATATATACGTATTTTGAGGATGGATTTCCAAGGTTATATGTGAATGCATGGCTGCACCACAAGACAAGCATTGATATGGAATTTGCCCATCTGGAGGTCCATGTGCATCCATTGCAGAGCATTCACAAAACACTCTCTCTCTCTCGCACACACACATAAACACACACACGCAAACACATACAGGCCCTGACTAATTGGTCTCTTCAAAGAACCAAATCCCCAACATTAGGCATAAAAAAAGTTAGCATAAGTATAACAAGAAGACAAGCACAACCAAGATTTATGATCATGAGCAAATAGGCTGTGTTTGACCAATCTTTGAACTAAACAAGTACCTCTGGTTGGACTCATGGTGAGCATAGAGAACACATGCATGAATGTGTGTGGAGTGTCTGTGTGCAGATTGGTTGGTGATTCGGTGCATACGACGTTCCTCCTTGCTTTTCTATCAAAATATGGTCCTTTTCTTACTCTCATTAATGTTAAATTCACGGAGAACAACAGAATAACAAGATACCACCAATTCTCTGACCCCATCCCCAAAAAAAAGTAATACCATAAACTGACAAAGGAAATACCCTAAAAATATTCAGGTTGGAGAAAATTATACATAGAAATTCTGTCACCCAACATTATCTATAATATGGTGCATTATGATCCCATCAGCTTGCAGATTCAGCCTGCTTCAGTGGAGATTTTTTAATCATACAGATTGTAGCAGTAATACAGGTGTTCTAAATCCATATAGCAAAAGGCCATCAAGATTCAAGAGAAGCATTTTCTTATGGTCCCACTAACATGATTTGTACAATAAGATCAATAACTTCCATAAGAAAGCCATACTATCTTTCATCAGAATAAGGTTTAACTGGGAGATTGGTCTTTCATTTCAGAAATCATCAAACCGTAATCTGTCATTGTAGGCGGTTGTAGGACTTACTTTGGGAAAGATGACGGCAATGAACAATGAAGCATCAAAACTAACCTTAATCCATAACCAGATACAGTAATATAAGTGGTGCCTCACCAAACCAGCAATCCTTCCAGAACCAGATCACTCTCTTTCGAGTTAATTCCATGGAAGAAGACTGTCTTTTTATTCAAAACCAAAAAACTTGGATTGGTCATGAAACGAAACAGGGGAACCAATAGCCCTAGATGATTCAGTCAGAACAGAAACTGGGTAGATCAAGTCATTCTAAGTGAACACCACACAATCAACCATGGTGGTACAAGAATTAGTATTTCTTGGGCTTCGACTACAATGCAGCCTTTAACAAAACTGGTTATAAAGATAAAGATAAATAAGGATATTTATAATGAGCTAAACACAATATAATTTCTACCACATCTAAAACCTTCATGCACTTGCTACAATGAGAGTTCTAAAACCAACTGAACAAAGATCAGATGATGAGTACTAGGGAGGTATAACACAATACGCACCAGGTTATGCCCTTAAAGCCAAAACACTAAGGAGGCCAATGTTGAATCCATAACAAGAAACCCAATCTGCTTAGTAATAACACTAAAACACTCTATCAAGACCCGTCTGTGTTTCTGTAACTAAGCTGGGTTTAGATAAACCCCTACTAATTTTTTTTTTTTTTGGAAATCAATAAACATGTGTCTGATGAATATGATGTAAGATTTCTGATGTTGTTTTCTTCTTTCTTCTTTTTCCCCAATTTATATTGCATTATCATTCCAGTTAATGAAATGGCTATTACCTTTCAAGATACAAAGATGAATTGAGCTGCCAACTATGTTGATATTGTTCTATTAATCATAGTAAATTTAAAACTGCCATGACAAATTCAGTTTTAAGTAGTTGTCTATTACTCTGTAGCATCCTCTGAGAAGCAAGAAACTTCTGAAAATTTTTCACAGATCACTTAAAGAAATATTATGTTAATTGAAAACATTAGAACAGATTAAACCCATTTCACCTTGTTTGAGCTCATTATATATCAGTGTTAAAAAATGATGACTCTGGTCGGGATTAACGAGGGACCCAAGCCCGAGTTAGGTCTGAAAGGCTCGCTCCCAAGCCCAAGAATCAGCGAAGTCCCAAAAAAATATATCTATATATATATTTGGAACCAGTCGACTTGGCCTGTTCCCAGTGTTTGGTTCCAGACTCAGCAGTTTCACATTACTGCTATGAATTCACCTATACATTTCCTATAAAGCTCTAATGGATAATTGCTGATGAAGTTCCGCTAAAACAACTATCACTCATGTAATGCAGAAATATAAATTTTTGCAGGAATTTTATAAAACTCCTAGGAATGTATACCATCTGTGATTCATTCATAATGCGATAAACTTATAAAAATAAAAAATTCAAAAACGTTGTCAAGTGTTATTGAATCTTTATTTTGAATTTAACATTTGGAATATTTATTTTTAATGACATAAGGAATCTCATTTATTGAATGATGCCATAAAATCTAAGTCTACTCTGAAATAACAAAAAGAACCAAAATGCATGTAGATTCCTTCATTTAGAAAATCCTCTCTATCTTACAGAATATCCCTAGTATAACCTACAGTCACATCATGAGTTAAAGCAGCTAGTTCCTCAAGCTTTTGAGTAAAACAAATCTCACAAAATGAAAATTAAAAAATGTCCCATAGATTTTCTTGAGCAAATAACAAAATCAAGACATAACTTTCCATGGTTCCCGACAAGCCATTCCATATCCAATTCTCTCTTTAAAAGAAGCTGGGCTAGGTGCTCGAAAGTACGTTGAGAATCTTGAAGCAACAATGGTGAGGTTGTCATCTCTCTATAATGTAAAGGCCCATGCAGGTGAAAGTGGGCAAACTGGCGTGTGGGTTGGGTCGAGAAAGATTGGCGCCATTGGCATGAGGATATCATCAGGAATAACTTCTCAAGGATTGGCTTTTAACATTGATCCTGACTTAAGCTTTTTCAAGCATATTGTGCCTTGTGGGATAACTGATAAAGGGGTGACTTCTTTGGGAATGGAGGCTGAGATGGAACTCCCTGAAGATGAAGTGATTCATGAGCAATTGGTGAGTTGCTTTACTCAACTATTTGGTTACGAGCATGTTGTTTGGAAAGACAGAGAATTTTTTTCCCTTGAACTGTCATATTGAGTCAACTGCAGAAAATTATTGAGCTAACTTAATGTGAAATTATGTTTTATTTATTATTTATATAGCATTTGATAGCAAAGATGGGTGAGGCTGAATTTTGTAACTTTTAAGGTAACATTCAATGAGAATAGTTTGATAACCATATTTAAACATGTTAACATGAAGATGTACATCAAATTAGATTTTTAGTGTACACAAGTGTGTAGCACAAAGATCTAAATTGTTTATTTGTCAATGAAAAAATATATTTTGGTGGTATATTTGATGAAAAAGTATTCTGTCAGTCAGCTGAGTCATTCATCCGCCATGAGTTTCAAACGATTTATGACCCAAATCACATTACAGTTGCAAATCCATTTCCCCCTCAGGTTTCTGAATTTGGAGCTCCAAAAACAGTGTAGATCTAGTGATCTTCGAAGAATTGAAATGAAGTGTCCAAAAGAAGTACAAAAAAGACAATCTCCAACGCTTAAAAATCTTTTTTTTTTGGTTGTTGAGATGTTAGACCAGTAAAGTTTTGGCTCCAAAATTTACCTCCAAGATGGATTTTCGAAAGGTAAACCCCTGCAATAGGTGTGTCCCAGACACCAAAACCCTACCCACATTTGATTTCAATTGAATGAATCAAGATCTGTTTGGTTCTTCATCGAAGGGTATAGAAAGAGAGAAAACGGCTATGATAGTGCTAGAAATGGAGATGAAGTAGAGAGAGAGCGTACTTACCTGGATTGGATCAATCGATGATGATCAAGAAGGCTGATGGCCTAGGGCAACCCCATCAATACCAAATCATTAAAATTCTCTAGAATCCTTGACAAATTTTTTTCTCTCTCTAATATGTTTTCTTTTTTCAATTATTTGTTTTCTCTAAGCTCTAGAAGTTGAATTTAAAACCTCTACACGAATTCTATGCAATTTCAAATTTTCTCAACAATTTAAAATTGGGGTTTTGAAGAGGAAAAACATTTGACATACTTTTCTAGTGCAATCAATATTCTGTTCAAGGTTTGAGATTGAGGTATTTTTCTAATACAATCCGACATTCAAGAATTTAGGTTACGACTTTAGTTTACATTCAAGAATTTTGATTAAGCATGTCAAGAATCTAGATTAATCGGATACCCTAACCTCCACGTGATTTGTTTGGAGGGGTTGACGCTGCGTTTAACTCAAATGCTCCCCAAACTGCTTGAAATGGTCATCTATTACACTGGTTACTAACTTTGCTTGGCGTGGGGTACCCAGGAACTCTTAAAGAGGGGATGGGGGACTGCATCTGACATACATGCTCCTGAATGGTCACTCACTGCATGGCTTACTAGCTCTGCCAGGCAAGGTGGTACCTAACACCTATGTTGCATGGGGACAAGTATATGTGATCATGTTTGATATGGATATAGGGTTTCAGAGGACTAATGATTAGAACAAAGGGATATAGCGACATTATGAAGAGAACCAAATCCAATGTTTTACTACTATTCCATTTTATGATGAGCAAGAGATCATTGTTATGCCGCAATTGGCTGAGATCATAGATATTTGGGAAGTTCCATAGACATTTTCAAACTTCACGCGTATCTACTCAAACATTTAAGCAGATCAAGTCTCTAAGTTGATGTAACCAATGGTTAAACAAGAAGAAGAATCAGAAAGAATCTGGTTCTCCATTGTTTATGTTGCTATTTATACACACTAGCCCAAAGGCAAAGCCATACTTGATTGCTAGGCAAGCAACTTTCAGTCTTTGAACACCGAAGTACAGAGCTTTGAGCAGTGAAGCTAAAGGCTCAAAAACCTCT